TCGCCGCACCCCCGGGTCGAAGGAGCCGCGGGGGAAGAAGGGAGCCAGGCTGGTGGCAACAAGGAGGGTGGGAAGGGGGGTTTGAGGCAGAGAGGATACAAGGGGAGGTGTGGAGGAGGAGGAGGGGGTGTGGGGGAGGGGGAGTAGTGGGACTGGTGGGAAAGACGAACCACAAACGGGGGGGAGTGGTGGGAGGGTAACAGCTTGAGGTCCCCTCAGGTCCCCATTGAGCACCTATATGTGGGTTTTGGTAATCACCTGAGGCAGCGGGTCTGGGAGGGGACGGGGGGAAAGGAGGGAGAGGAGGAGGTAAGAGCGGTAGTGGGGGTTGCCCGGATAAAAAACCTAAAAAAACACCTTGCGCTAAAGAAAGGTCGCCATGGTCGCAAAGCTGCCGATCCTCACTCGAACAAGGAAGAAGGCATATGGGTCGGCTGAAAGGTAAGGCCAGGCAGTCTGTCATGTGTGGTGAGATGTAGAGAGGATGTAGCAGCAGGTTTTGGGGGGTGATGTGTTGCGGGATGTGTGTTCGCCGTACGCATTTCGGATGCGCGCGAGTCGCGGAGTCGCACCTCTCCAGGTCTAGCCGTCGAAGCAGGGTAAGGCATTCATAGACAACGTCCGCTGGGGCCGTGATGGGACCCGCGCTGGGCTGCGTTGTGGCGACGCAGTGGGGATGGCATGGAGGACTAGGCCGAATTGGAGTATGTTCGTCATCGCCAAGGTAATTTTTTGCCTACCGGGCGAAGTGCCTTGTGAAGGCATTGCGTTAGAAGCGCTCGCCTTGAAGGCCGGCTAGCTTGGCGGCCTAACGTTGTTCGATGGTGCTTTATTGAATTCATGTTGTCGGGCTGGACAATATTATCATGTGTGTCATAATATATGATAAATTCTTTTTGGATTGACAATCGTGGTGCGGAACCGACCCGGTGGTCTCCGACAGATCATCCGCCGCAAGTAGGCAATATGAACCAATTGTGAAAAGAACTGCATCGGCCAGTATATTCACATAATTATTTCTGCGTAGGCAGCTTCGTTGTTTCGTACACTTGCACAACCTGCGCACTATGGCAGTCACCTTGCGCCACACTGCTTGTTCCGCGCTTCTGAAGGGCAGTGTGCGCATACCACGCCCTGCGTTTGCTGCTCCAGCTTTCACGAGCCGAACCACCAGCGTCTCCGTCCGGGCCATGTCGGCAAAGCAGGTCATCTCGACGGAACAGGCACCGGCCGCGCTGGGCCCCTACTCGCAAGCGATCAAGGCAGGCAACACCGTGTACGTATCCGGACAGATCGGAATTGTGCCAGGAACGAAGAACTTCGCATCGCCAGACGTGGAGGGCCAAACCGAGCAGGTGCTGAAGAATCTCGGTGCCATCCTCAAGGCCGCTGGCGCCGACTACAAGGACGTGGTAAAGACGACCATCCTGCTGGTACGCTCCCTCAATCCCTTCCTGAAACTATCTTCCTTCCTGTCTGCTTACCACGGGTGCACCACCCGAGGCCGACAGGCCACATCCGACATCCCAACCCCCCAATGCCGCTCGCCGTCTCCCCCGGCTCCTCACGGGCTGTTCTATTCCCTTCCCTTCCTGCAAAACTCTGGGCCATTTTAAGGATCTCTAGCTCCACAAGACCACCATCCGTCACGCACTGGTCGTCTTGTCTCCTTCCAGCCATGTACTTTTCAAATGATGTCCGTCCACGCAGGCGTCGCAAGGAGCTCCCCAGAAATTGGCCCTCATTTCCTACACCATAAGTCCTTTACCGGGCGGAATCCTCCTGACTTTCCCTGATTGCCCATTCCACAGTGCCGTTGGCGTAATTCACCCTACCCGGCTCGGGGTGATGATCCGCGATGTGTTTCTCCCACCCCCATACCTTCAGCCAAAACACACATCCACAACTCGAATCAAACGCCTCGGTCCGCTTTCCCCAATCAGGCCGATATCGCTGACTTTGCCAAGGTCAACGCCATCTACGCCACGTACTTCACCGAGCAGCCCCCGGCGCGGGCCACATTCGCCGTGAAGGACCTGCCGCTGGGGGCGAGGGTGGAGATCGACGCAGTCGCCGTACTGCCGTGAATGCCGTACTGCCATCCAATGCTATTCTTCTGGTCGTGCCTCTGGCTACCGTACACGATGGCATGATGATGATGATGGCCATTGTGGCAGCGAATTAGGGTTTGGGTATACACCGGTGGCAGCAGTAGCAGCAGCAGTAGCCGGCTCTGGGGCCCGCGGCTGCAGTGGCTGACTAACGAACTGAAGGGCCATTTGCCGGTCGGGCGACTAACTGTCGTAACTGTCAGTGTCGTTGCCATCATTGCCGCCGCCGCCGCAGTAGCAGTAGCAGCAGAAAGCAGTCATCGCTCTCTCCCCCCCACTGGGGCCCCTGTCGGCACCCTAGAGAACCTCTTCCTAACGAGGTCGGAGGGGTTGTTGGGAGGGGGCCGTTGGGTAAGTGGTTGATGGTGGGTGGTGGTGGGTGGTGGTGGGTGACTACCACGTGAATGGAGAACCCAATTACCCCAATTACACCGCAAAACTGGCCCGTGAGAGAGAGGGGGCGTTGGGGGGGGGGAACGGCGAGCCACGAACGAGTAAAGCTGCTGCCAAGGAAAGAGTGTACAAGGCGGGGGCAGGGGGGAAAGGGAGGGGTGGGGAAGGCCCTACCGGGTGGCTCTTCACTCGTGATGTCGTGCTGTGTGGTTCATTGCCGGTGGACTCTCGGGACAGGTCCAAGAACTATCGTGTGGTGGGAGCTTATATGTGTGTGGTGGCCTCTTATGTGTGTGGTGGTGTGTTTTCTTGAGCCTGCCTGCCTGCCTGCCTGCATTTGTCCCGGCCTGTGTGCTACGCGTCAGAGAGGAGGATGTGAACCATGAACAGCATCGTGCGGGAACAGTTTCGGAGCGGCCCTACGTCGGTAACCAATCAGCTCCTACAGCTGTCTGTCGTCCTACAGTGCTGCAACCGAAGTGTGCTGTACGAGTTGTCGATGCACCTGCACACGCGCACACCTCTCTCTGGCGAGTGTGTGTTGTGTGTGTTTTCATGGTGCCTGCGAGTGTGTGCCGAATGATAAGTGTCTTGCGCTCGCGGCGGATACGGATACGGACCGTGTGTCCCTTTGTATGTATGTATGTGCCCGCCGTCTTTCCCTCCGCCCTGGCATCCCTCCACTTCCCCACTTCCCCACCTCCCCACAAACACATACCTACATACATACCTACATACATATTCAGTTTGCAATTTCTTCCAGACAAGAGGAAAGGAAACACCTCGCAAGGCTGTTGTCTGTCGGGGGGGTTTGTCTTGTTCGTTAGGGATAACAACGACAGCCAACTGCGACATATCGCATCCAGCCCCCCGCTTCCTTCCTTCTTTCGTTGTTCAACATTTCGCTGAGTCCTGTCGACATATACATAGATATACATACATACATACATCACACACCTCACTGAGCCCCAACACACCCCTTTTTGCACCTTCCACAACTAAACATTAGCTAACAAGTGCACACACAGCAGCAGCAGCAGCAAACCCCAGCAGCAGCAGCAGCGCCGGCGCGGATTCACAGCAGCCGTCACCTCGCCAGCAGCAGCACCCCCGGCGCCTTCTCCTTCCACCCCCGGCAGGAGGCGGCAGCAAAAGGGCCGCATCTCATTAAATCTGCAAAACGGGATTATAACGATAGCAAGCGAGTGGGCCAGGCGAGCGGAGTTCCGTAGTTCAGCAGGAGGTAAAGCTGTAACGCACTCCCCCCCCCCACCAAGCAAGAAGTACACCGTGGGGTTACCGTGCGCCTGTGTCTGATACCGTTCGTCTGTTCGTCAATCCGCTTTTTTTGAAAAGCCAAGTGCTTGTAAAACAATTTATAAATCCCCCCGGGTGGGGGGGGAAACAAACGACGATGAAAGAAAAGGCAAGGAGGATGGCGCGACGGCAATGCGCGAGCCGCGCGTGAATAGCAGGAATGAGTCACAACAGTCCCCAACTGTCCCACACCGTCTTCAACCGTAGCCAACCATATCCAACCACCGCATTCGGGGCGGGGCCCAATTTAAATTGGGCCTTGAACCCCCCGCCCTTGGGTGTCCCCGAGAGCGCACAGCATCGTAGCACGTTAGCCACAGCCCCCCACCCCCTTAACTGACCCCCCTCCCCCCAGTCCCCCAACCCCCCCCCTGGTGCCGCGGGGAACCACTCAACGGCGGTGGACACCCTCTACGCACACACGTACATACACATACGTATACATATGTACATACATACATACATACTTACATGCCGGCCTAGACCTTTTTTCTCGCCCTACTAGACCTTACACGAGCTGATTCGCACACGCGTTGTTGTTGTGCTGTTGTTGCTTTATTGCCCTCATGCGGCGGTACATGTAGGGGACATAAAGGCGCTCGGGGCAAAAGAAGCCAAGTCGGCATGCACATCACGCCCCGAACCCCGGGGAGCGAAGGGGGGAGACATAAACCCACGCGCGCACACACATACACACACACACATACACACACGTCGCTAGGCAGGGATCCCCGCGCCGCCGTAATACCGACCAACCACCAGCCGACCAACCGCCGCAACACTCTTAGCTATTTACCGGTTGAACCCCAACACCATGAAGCTGCGAGTAGGCGAGTCCCTACCGCCACTGTGGCCACGTCATTACTCTATTGCATTGTATTGCATTCTACCGCTATACTGCTATGCAGCTATGTCGCCGCCAATGGCAACAACTACAACGGCCTAGCCGTATGTATATATGTACGTATGTATGTATGGACAGGCCCCCCTGCCGGTCCGCGCTTCTGCCGCGGCAACCAGTACAAGCAACCCACGGCCACAGCACACCCCACACGCAATCCTGAAAACGCCACTCACCCTCACCCTCATCCTCATCTTCATCATCATCATCATCACCATGCTTCAGCTGCTGCCCGACAGCAACAGACACTCCCCAACACCAGGCATGTGCACAACCGACTGAGCCGACTCAGTGCAACCCCCTCCCCTCCACACACACAAACCATCACACATCCCCCAACCACACAATATGACTCATTCCGAAGACCCGGCTCCACTGAGCACATTCAGCACCCGGCCATGATGCGCCGTACACCGCCGTACACACTCCCACTCACCGCCCCAACCTACCAGGTGGAAACCCACCAACTCTCGTGGGTCGGGTGGGGAAAGAAAACCCACACAGTAGACTCACAACACAGCACAGCTCAATGACCAGCCTGGAACAACACGCCGACAAGGCCTCGCGCAAATGCAGCCGCACTACCACCACCACCACCACCACCACCGCTGTCACCTACTGACCTTGCTAATACCAACACTACTGCCAATACCAATACCAACACTACAGCGATGGGTCTTATACACGGCCAGCAAACGTGCCCTTCAGAACCAACAGCGGCAGCAACAACAACAACGACCCGTCCAACTACTTTCCACATCGAGCAGCACTCGCTTTGAACCAGGCAGCGGGAAATGAAATCGTAATTAACCGACTAACCGACTAGCCGACTAACCAAATAACCGTCTAACCGACTACTAACCATCTATCTACCTATAGCCAGAAGACGTTCCATCGTTCGTTCACCTATCAAGCTCCACAGACAGACAGACAGACAGACAGACAGACAGACCTGCCGCCACCACCACCGCCAGTTCACGGATCAATGATACCCGGCAGTCCATTAATATATCCATTTTCTTGCATGAAATGAATGCCGTACTGTACGGCAGCCATGAGGAACCATCGACACCAAATCAGCTGATGATTGTTGGCAGGCATTGCCGTAACTCCCAACTCCTACCTTACCCCTTAATAAGGTAGGTAACTCCCAACTCCTACCTTACCCCTTAACCCATCATGACACCTCCACTCTCCACTTTGCACATTTCGTAACGCAGTGAAGTGCCGGCGCCCCCCCTCCCCTTTCCCCCCTCCCCTTTCCCCCCTCCCCTTTCCCCCCTCCCCTTTCCCCCCTCCCCTTTCCCCCCTCCGCAACATGCAACTAACTAAACCATCCTGCGGCCCTGCTCCTGCACCTGCTCCTAGCCACCTGCACCTGCACCACCTGCACCTGCACCTCCTCCTCAACACCCCGACTAGATCCCAACGGCTATACTACCCACCACTGCCACCACATGCCACCACATGCGACCACTGCTAGGGCCGCCTAATAGGGACCTATCCTAGGGCTTTACTCGGCCACCCGGGGTAGGGACCACCAGGCGGCCGCTGACCCACCGACTCGACACACACACACACACTGCGGAGTGCTTCCACCTCTTCCCCCCCTCGTCACACGTCGATGCGCGGATAGGAGGAGGAGGATGCCATTGGAGGAAAAAGCAATAGAAAGAGATGTCTTAACTAGCTAAACCCTTCCACGTGCCTTTCAGCTGCCGCCGCCGCCGCCAGTGCTGCCAACTTCCCTACCCCCACTGCCCCTGCCTCGACCGCCGCCGTCGCCACTGCCACCACCACCGCCACCACCACCGCTGCCGCTGTATGCGGTGCCCAAGCCAGCGGCAACTCCTGACAGCGACGCGGGCGGCGCTGCACCGCGCTGCTGCGGCGGCGACGTCACCGCCGCGGCCGCTGCCATCGCCGCTGCTG